CACCATAAATGATGCACCTCATCGGTATGGGATACGGCCAGGAATGGTTCATGAGAATGAACAAGCTGGAGCTATCCAGGATCCACAGACTTTCTTGTGCTCATTTTTTGTTCTTTTAGTGTTAAATTATTGTCCGGATCTAATCTGTGGCTGAATTAAAATTTTTAAAAAATATGATTTTTTTATTGAAATTATAATTTTTTCAGTAATTTTTTTAACACCTGTCTTCCCTATTTTCATACTTATTTTCACATTTTCATTAGTTATCTTAAATGGTTTCTATATTAAAAAGAATGACAGATAAACGTTAGAAAATGAAAGACGGGTGTTCCAAAAATATCTAAAATGATTACCAGAATAAACTGAGAACTGATTATTAAAAATTCTAAACATGAGTACTAAAATATAAAAGATAAATATGAAAATATGAAATAAGTACTAGGAAAACTACTCAGAAAAAGTTTAATTTTAAAGGTCAAGGTCTTTTTTAAAAGAAAAATAAAAATTTCAAGATATTTGATTGTTATTAATGTTTTTTTTGGTATAGTAATGTTCTTTGGTCTTTCTATGTCATTTCCCTTATTACTGCAAAGAAAATATTTTTAATTTAGAAATACTATACTTATTTATTATAAATAACTAAATTAACTAATTTTTTAATACTGTAAATTAGTTATCTAAATCTTATGAAGATTAAAAATAGTATATGTAAAATATAAAAACGTATGATAACTTATAAAGGAGCTCTCTCTTCCTTCCTTCTAAAGAACTATTCCCTTCTCCGAATTTGCTGCGCAATGCAATTGAAGTTAAGATTAATGCTCCAGTTTTGTGTGGGCAACTCAATAAAAAGGGGAGTTTGGAAATGCAAAGCACTTAAAAAAAATATTTTCACGTAAATTAAATAAAATTTTTCACACATATTTATCTCCTATATTATAAAATTATTTTTAAAAAACTAATTTAAACACCTCAAATAAATGAAATCCAGCAGCGCCCCAGATCCTTGACAAAATAATGAATATCATACGGCTATTTTTTAAGAAAATAATAGTATCTTGTAGAAGGAAATCACGGCTTTCCCTTCCTCCTTCCTATGTTGTTGGCACTGGCTGCTAGGGGATAATATTTTCTAACATTACTCCAATTCCTGCTGATCAATCTATCCCTAGTGAAAAGTAATAAAAGGGAATTTCGAAAAGTTAGGCTCTTCCTTTTATCTTCTTCTTCTTTTTCACTTTTAGAAGAACCTGTTATTCCTCTCCCCAATCATGAAGCTTCAAGTTTCAGTATTAAGAATCAAGGCATCTAAATTGCTTTTCAATCTGTGAAAGAACCCAGATCTCTTGTTCTGCTGCCACATACCTTGTAGGACTTCTTTTTTTCTCCATAAAGTTCATTTTCATTGATATTTATATATATATATATATATATATATATTTTTCCTTTTACACGTTCTTGTGCTCTTTTGATGGTGGGGAGAATTTTCTGACCAGGAAAAAGAGGGTTATTGTAAAAGAAAAATATGAAAATTAGTATATAGAGAATTATTTATGTAAATGGTTTTTTAGTAGTACGATTTCTCTCTGGACTTAATGAGCTTTGACATAAAATTGACCTAAACATTTTATTCATATAAATCTCCCAAATCCTCTTAAACTTTTACATTTTTTAGCCCAACTTTAATTTTTACCGTCAACAGTTGTAAAATATACTCAAAGTTAAATGAGCTTATTCTGCATCCAAAACTTAATTATCTAGATCTAATTTGAACAGTTCAGATATGATAAATTTGAGTGCTTATTACTCCGGATGAGCACTCAAAACTTATATACTCTTCTAGTTCTTAATATAGGACCTAATTGTTGAGTTGGTTTTGGTCCTAAATATAAGACCCATTTCTCATATTTATCAATTTTCTCTAAATTGCCCTTATATATACTTCCTCAACCATAATCAAACAGAAGAGGGAGAGAGTGTATTAAAAAAAGATGATTATGGTATTTTAGGAAAAACGTGTCACATTTCTTATCATTAGCTAACTTACCTAACTTCCTTAATCTAATCAAATTAGTTAAATGGGTCTTATATTAAAAACCGGAGGAGTATCTATTCAATATAATTAATTAAATTATATTACTCTTATGTTACTCAATAAATGTATGAAAATAAAAAGTGCATGAAAACATTATGCAATCATTGCACAATTATATGAATGAATGATTAAGCACAGGCACCATGTCATGGCAAATAAAAGAAAAGCAATAAACAAGAAGAACATTCCTCTTTTATTTTTATTTCTTACTTTTTTCTTTTAAAAGATTCTATTCTTCACTAAAAATAATGTTTTTGCGAACTTCCAATTTCTCATTCATATATAATTCTATGATCATTTAAGAAGGTCATAATTAAGATATAAATGATAATATTTCAAAAACTGGATATATTATCTATGGTCATATGATTGAAAAATTTGATATAATGGATATAAAGAACTTAATCTAAGTATTACTCTTAAAATTTTGTACCCTAAAATGGTGCTAATTAAGATTTCAATTATCATGAAGTAATTCAAAAATTTAAACTTGTATATAAAACATTTTTGCTGAAGTATACATTTACTTCTTTAACTTTATATGTAAGGTTTCAATTTAATCTTTTAACTTCAAAAAGTATTAGTATATTTTTAATCATTTAACCCTAAAATCATTAATAAAAAAAAGATAATATTGAGATCTTGAATAATGATAAAACATTTTCAAATGCTTATATTTAAAGTTTAATTTTCAAGAGAACGATGATTATTAATTACCAAAAAAATTATTTAAAACTAATAATTTTAGTGTTAAATGATTAAAAATATACTTTTTAAAATTAAGGGATCAAATTGAAACCTTACATAAAATTAAAAAACTAAATGTACATTTTTGCCAAATATTTTTCATTTGAAATTGTGCACGTGCCAGTTCATCATGCGCATATATACTATCTCAAGTCCTAAATATAAGATATAACAAGGTAGTAACGTACATTCTTGGAATAATCTATATTGTAAAAGTGAATGAGCAAATGTCTCCAAAAAAAAAAGGCACACGCACACTCTCACATATGTATACTATTTTCTCAAATAATCATAAAATATATATGCTATGTCTTAGTCAATGTTAAAGAGAAGATCAAATGATCGCCGTATATATTTTAGAACTATATCTTCTGTTCAAAAAGTATATCATTGAATAATCTGTTTAGTCAATATTTGGGATATACCCTTGCTGGTATGTTTATTATACTCGCCAAATTTAATGGTTTGAACAACTATTGTTAAGCAAGGTAAAAAAAAAAAACTATTATTAAGAGAAAAAGAAATTCAAACTCTAGTTTCAGAATATATTAGTAAAAAGAAAAAAGTGCATGTTAGAGTAGTATTGTTACTATTTACTATACATGGATAACCTACGTGCACAACATATATTGCTTTAATTTGCAGAATAAAACAAATCATACACATTATTTTTAAGTTTTAACTATGTTTTAGAGCTCCATTAGTTAGGAATTAGGATTAGGATATATAGATTCAGGTGCCTTAAAAATCGCATTTAATTAAGTAATAATCTTCTTTTTTTGTGGATACAAATGATGGCCATGGGAATAATTAACAGCATTACATTGGGTAACTCTTAACATGCACAAAATTTTTATTAAGTTTGGCAAAAAGTTGCTTACAGTGTCCATATTCCTTCAACTATAATATTATATATATATATATATATATAATATAAACACAATTGACTGTTATTGATTTGTTAAACTTAATGATACAAATAGGTTATATTCGTCAGCTTGATATTATTTTCCTGTGGTTTATTAAGTTAGGAAATAAGTTGTTTGTTCTGAATCAAGAACTATAAGAACTGAATCCAGAAACTATAAAAATTGAGTTGTATGTTCTGAATCAAGAACTATTAAGAACTGAATTGTTTTGAATTAAAGTTTAATTGAGGGGGAAAATTAGGTAGCAAAAGTTATATTTTTTCTTAATTAATTGTTTAGTAATTAAATTATGTGATTACCTTTACGTTGAAAAGGGGACGCATGTCATTAGAAGATCAGGTTCGCCTTGGTAAAAAAGAAAGGGAATTCTTGCATAGCTTTCATCAGATATACTACAAAGTGATTAATGTTTTCTTTTTTTAAAAAAGTGAAATAATACTCACGAATTGATGAGTAATAAATAATATCCTACAACATTTGGTGAGAATCCAGAAAAGATTATGATTAAACCATAATGCCACTGTTCGATCTTATAACTAATTACGATCAATAATAAGTACTCTTCTGGTCTTCTTTATATGTCACTTCCAAAATGTTTCACACAGATCAACAAAAATTTTCAACTTCATTAACTCTTATTTAAAATTCAACAACTTTCTAACTTTGTCGTTATCTAATATGCATTATATCTCATGTAAACAAAGTCAATACAATAATAAATGGAAGCAAAATTGTACATCTATATGAAAAATTTCTCTCAATGCCCTGTAAATAGAATAAAAAATATCTTCTCTCTTTACCTTATAAATAGGACTAGAGGAATATGTTTGATTATATATGGACAATGAAACTTATTAAACAAGCCAATTTTCATTCACATGACCTGGAACCAAAAAGATTTGGTTCCTTATGATAAAAGGTTACAAAACAAAGCAACCTCCAAACTTAATTCAGAAAATCCTTTACATTCTCGTCATGTCTAGAACATATAGAAACCCTAAATAGGTAATTTAATTTAGATGTTGGAATCACATGATGGAGCAAGAATTAGGGTTTTCATCACTGAAGAGGGTGGTGAACTTTTCATCAGGAGCATTTGGAGCAGGAACTGCTTGAGCAACATTCCTGACAAAACCCGAAGGAGCCTTCTTGTCATAAGCCTGAGGTACATAAGGATATGCCACTAAGTTCACCGGCACATATGGCCAAAACTCTGCCCTCTTCCCTGTTCTCTTCACCCTCTTTAACACTTTGTTTGCATCCACATAGCCAGTTACTTTCACTCTGCTTTGCTTCCTTATCACCTCCACTTCTTTCACACCTAATAACATAGTAATTCATTTGCAATTTTAACTTTTTCAGATGTTATATCATGCCGCGAGAAAGAGAAAAACATAAGAAATAAGTGAACTTTATTCGAGACTCAAACCTCTCTCTCACGACAAAGAGTACGGGGAGAGAGATATAAGAGAGTGGTAGGACTTATATGTTGCATCTTTCTATTTCTCTTCTTATTTAACGAGGATAATATTAGTACTGAAAATGTGAGGCGAGGATATTTTATACGCAGGGTTTTATATTTTTGAGTTATTTTGTAGTTAAAATGTGTGTGTTAATATTGGGAAAATTATCTTTTGTAATCAACTTTTCCATGTTTTGTGCAAAGAGAATAGGAGAGATTGCATTAGTTTTTAACTTTTAATTGAAACTGACAAAAAGAAATATAAAAAAAAATGTATATTTATTACTCTTCTGTTAATACAAGACCAACTTCAAGAGTTACAATAAAATGTCTCTTGACTGGCAGTTAAGTTATTACAAACCACCAGTGCCATAAAAGTAGAGTCTTACCTGATATTCATGAGACAAGACAACATATTTAAATTGCACTTAAACACCACATATCATTTCATTATGCATTTATTGACAATGAATGCTTCTTAGACTAAAACATCATCACAGTGCGAAAGTTTTCACCCCTTATTTTCTTATACTTAAAACAGAGATTTTGGAAACTGTATAGTGAACCTGATCATAGTCTAGCCCAGAATGCCTCGTAAAACTAGGTTGTCTGATAACAGATTAACTCTTGTCAAAATCTGAACTGAACTGATTGAAAAGAAGAAGGTGAGAGAAGAAAGAAGAAGAAGAAGAAGAAGGGACCTTTCATGCGAGTGACAGCATTTCTGACTCTTCTTTCACAGCCATCACAGTCCATTTTCACCTTGAGTTCGACAGTCTGTAACAACACATTCAAACCGAGAAATCAAAATGAAAAACAGAGTTCAGAAAGAAAATGGAGACATGGGAATTAAACTAGACCTGCAATGGTTTGCGTCTCTTTTTCCTGCCATAAACTATGAAGAAATCTGAAATAAAAGCAAGCACTCCCATTTTCTGTCGTCTCTAATATTTGTTTGGGGTCGTTGGAATGGAGCAGAGGATGAAGATAGGGAGAGAGTACTTAAATGGACAAAACAAGCAGTTTACAGAGAAGATGGAAGAGGAAGATGTGAAGAGAAAAGGAACTTTGGGCGGCTCATCAAAATATGGATTCACAACGCAAGTGGTTCCCTTTATATAAAGCATAAAAAAAAGTTGGTCTCTCAACAAATTGTGCTCCATTTTAGCATACATATCATCAATATTTAATATAAAATATAAAATTTATAACCAACGACACATATGAAAAGCACAATTCATTTTTTTTTTAAAAAAAAAAGAATCTCTCTTAAAATAAAGAGGATGACTATCTAATTCAAGAAAGCTTATGAGAATTTGGGTAATTTTATTTTTTATATAAAAATATTATGAGTTTTAAAATTAATGGAGGGACTTTCATAGTTTAACAAGACTGGTTAAATCATACTCCCCCTATCCTTAACGTAGAACCTATTTGGGAAGTTAGTATTGGTTCTATATGTAATGTCTATCAATTTTTTTCAAATTAATTCTATTGATATTTCCTTAACAATAATCAAGTAGAGAAAGGAGGAAAGGAAATTAAGAAAAGTGCTTAAAGTGTTTTAAGAAAACATAACATATTAACTAATTTAACTAACATTCTTAATCTACTCAAATTAGTTAATTAGGTTTTATATTAAAGATCGGAGGAGTATATAATCTCTCTAAAATTTGGATCAGCTATACATACACTCAATGACCTTTGAAATTTTACAATGAAGCACATAAATTCTTTCATTTATACATATAACTTCTCTATAATTGATTTTATACATTACTTATCCGCATAAAAGCTTAAGTTCAAGAGGATTATCCGCATATTAATCAAAATTTGAGAAGAATTATGCACAAAGAAAAGTTTCGAGAGGAATATAATAGACTTTAAAGCTCATGAAGATTTATTATTAAGTTTTAGAAGTCAAGAAAAAAATTTTTGTACACGATTTAAATTTACAAGAGTTTTGTACCATTTCGTCAACAAAATTCCATGAATAAATTTTATAATATATATGTACATGTATATGTATATGTATATGTATATGTATAAAAATCATATAATTTTAATATATATGTATATGTATAGATTCGTGACACTGATTTTGGTCCCTCCCTCTGAATAAGGATAAGTAGGCGATTATTGATTGGGTTCAAAGCGCAGACTTTAGATTAGACAGATGCAAAAGTTATTCCATCTGACCACATTCAATTCCTTCATCAAAATTTTATATATTTTAATCAAAATCTCTTTATTGATTATTTATGGAAATAATATATGATAGTAATATGTATTTAATCAATTGAAAATATTCTTCTTTCAATTTTTTACGATAAGATCTATATATGGTATTTGATACTATGAATTACTTTGAATTTCAGTATTGTTGAATCTTGGTTGAGAATAATCCTAATTTTTAAAAAACGATTATCACAATGTTTTTTTTTTTGGAAGCTTCAACACTCTTAATCCCCCAATAAATTTTTGGATCTGCTTATTATTTTATCTCTAAGATGCATTCACACAAATAAAATTTAAATTATTAAGAATTTAAATGGTAATATAGGATTGTAATGGCAACTTAATACCATGAAAGCGGCTTAAAATATCTTTTTCCTTACGAAAGGGGAACTTATATTATTGTGAAGTTGCTTTCTATTTTTCTTTGAAATTTCTGTGATTCTGTCTTATGATGTGCTACATTATAAATATTATTGTTACACATATATATATTATTTGAGTAATAAAACAGAAGCTTGATGCATTATAAATTTTAATAGTAATTTCCAAATATTAGCTTCAAAAACTTGTATTGAAATTGGATACTTTTTGTTTTTTTTTTTTGCTTTTTGTGTCCTCATTCGAAATTGCGTACTATCATCAGATTGGCCCAAAAACAATATAAAATACTACTATTAAATTGTACTACTTATATATATATATATATATATATATATATTGCCAACAATATAATATATATAATCTCATTTCTTAAATTCAATTTAATGCACTGAAAATATGTGTTTACATATTATGAGTCTAGTTTGTCTCAGTCTCCTTAAAAAAATAGTTCAATTTAGTTTTCATACTGAAATTTGAATAAAAAGAAATAAAAAAATTGAAGACAATATTTGATAAAATTATTGAACGGGACCTCTTAATCAATAATTTATTTAAAAGTTTTGTTATCTACAGAGTCTAATAATATTATATGACCCATGTAGTCGACTCAATAAGTAAGTTTATAAGACTTATTGTTATTGTATTGAAATTTTCATGAATAAAAATTCTTCATAGTTGAGTTTGGAAAAAGATAATGAAGTATAAGTTTCATAAACTTATCATAAAAAATAAAATAAAATAAAATATTATATTTTACCCGCCACATAATCTTCCACCTTAATATTACCTTATCATTTCAGTGAATCAAAATTTAACTTGGCATGTCCAAATCCTTAGTGATAACCCGAAAAGGACTCATAATAACTAATTTCACTATTCCAACCATTCTTTCGGCCTCCATAAATGTGATAAACGATAGTGAAATGCCAATCTTGCGACCTAAGTGAAGGGGAATTATAGCAATCACGTAACTTTAACAGCTATAATCAACTTGTTTGGGGTCACGCTCATGTTAAATACTTATAAATGCTACATTTTCTTTTTTTTTATTATGGAGTACGTGCACATCAATCTCAATTACGGATCATCTGCATATTATTTATCCTTACGAAATACAAGACAAAATTGAATTTATTTTGTACATAAAATTTAGGTGAACTAAATTTCGAAGCTTGCTAGGAAAAAATTATGCTTCCAAATTTAGAAAGAAGATTTTTTTAATATATAAAAATTTATATGAGTTGACTCCCAAGGCTCTGCTCAAAGAGTGCTTCACAAATTGCCTATTAATAATATTCTCACATTAGTAGTAAGATTAAACACACAACTTTATAAGTTATAAGCTGGTTCTTTATTAATTAGATTAACATTTGGTGGCAAACAAAATAAGATTATCTTCCATAGGATGATAAAATTCATTTATCACTATATTTGCCTTTGATTCCTTGTACACAACATCTCATTTTATTTTATATTTCATATTGATCATTTTTTTCAAAATTAATTTACATAACATATAAACTAATATTAATTTAATGTTATACAAAGACATTTTAGAGAGATGATATCACATTTGTTATAATTAGTTGATTTATTTATTTGACTTCTTTAATGGACATAAATTAATTAAACAACTCTTCTTTAATTTAATGTTATACAAAAATAACTAATTTATCTAATTTATAAATTAATATTTAATTTAATGTTTTGGGTCAAAGAAATTTAATTTATGTTATAATAGTATAAGATATTTTAAAGAGATTATGTCATATTTATTATAATTAATTAATTAATTAATTTGATTTTCTTAACGTACCTAAATCAATTAAGCAACTCTTACATTAAATTTATTAATAAATTCACAAATAATCATGAACAATACAAGTTATGTCATTTTCCAACCTATTGCAAGACATGAATTTGCTTTGGTGCACAATAGAACCCATATAAATCCAAATCCAAACATTATATTAATATAAAAGAGAAGTAATATAGAATTTTATTGATGATGGCAAAAAAAAAGAATTTTATTCACAAAAATAAATAAAAATATTTACCTTAACATCATCAAATTATGATCAGATGGTTAACATCTTCCAATTGGCAGTTAATTGGTTAAAAAGAGCCGGATCAAATCCCATTTAAGAAAAAAAGTTGGAAAAATTTCACTTAAAAACCTCTATAGTTAATGAATTTTTAAAAGTATCTTTATAATTTTGAAATCTCACTATAAGACTAAAGAAGCCAAATGAAATAAATTTGAGAATTATTGTCCCAAATAACTATTCCCCCTGAAATTTGAAAAGAAAAGGGCAAAAAATTCATTTAAAACTCTTCTCTCTCTCATTTTACCAAAACTCTCAAAGGCGCTCTCAAAAATTGACACACGAGTTCTATCACCTTTGTTCTGGTGTTGTGTGGTAGTAGCTACAACAAGAAGAAGGAGAAGGAGAAGAGATTGATCAACAAAGGAGGAAACTTGCAACGCCATCGACAATATAAATATAAATTTTGACAACATCAAATTATCATTTTCTTGCACAATTAACTTTCATATCACCCATTTCCCTCTCATTCCTGCCTTCCCAAGTTCCTTTTTTTTTTTTTGGACAGCAAGGCAAGCTAAGCTTGAAACAGAAGAAAAGCGTCTAACTGCTAGTATGGGTTAACATTCCTAATAGCTTCCTCTAAATCTTGGTGTAACATCCTCAAGCACCAGTCAGGAGGTTCTGGTAAAGTCTGCAATTCCATCGGTCCTTTTTGGGTATTCTTAGCAAGCGCGTCCGCACACTTCAAGGCTTCACAGTACATATGTACTATTTTGATGTCCCAAAGGTCCGTAATGAGGGACCTCATCTCTATAACTTCCTCATACAACGGGTGCTCTGTCCCACATTCAAACATCAGCAGTTGGATAGCTTCCATGGAGTCAGTATGGACCTTGATGCTGGAAAGATTCAAGCCTTTACATAGTTTGAGCCCAATATGGATCACCTTTACCACTGCTACTATTGATGAGGCATAGCCCAAGTTTCTGGTAAAGCCCGTTAGCCAGTTTCCCTTATCATCTCTAATCACACCTCCACACACTGCCTGGCCCTGTTGTTGGACTGATCCATCCACATCGATGCGGACACAACCCTCTCGTGGTAGACTCCATTTACAGCATGCTCTATTTGGGATTTGGTGTTAGATATTTTATTATAATTATTATTTAGATATATATTAGGAAATTAATAAAATACTCTGAGTGTGGCCCTTTTAGTCAAACAAAGCCCAAGCCCAGTAGGGTTAAGCTTTTCAGTCTATATATGTGTTGTTAACTCTCTGATGGTGAGACACACAACAATTGAGTTGACGGCTGAATATTTTGTGAGCGAGTGAAATACCTATCTGCTCCCTTGAGGTTCCCTGACTGGTGACGGCTAATCCAGTTGTCATCACTGTGCCCTATTCCAGTCAGC